TGTGGTTGAATCTAGAACCTGTATGGCTGAATATCGAACCTGTGTGGCTGAATCTAGAACCTGTGTGGCTGAATCTAGAATCTGTGTGCCTGAATCTAGAACATGTGTGGCCGAATCAGGAACCCGTATGGCTGAATCTAGAACCTGTGTGGCTGAATCTAGAACCTTTTAAACTGGTCAGAGCAGACTGAGCTCCCTCTGACCCCCTGGATGAATTAACACAGTTATTATCATTATTAACGTTTAGTTCATGAAGTTGCTACGGTGGCTCTGTGGTCTGAGGTTGAGGGTTCGAGTCCAGGTTGTATCAGGAAACAAATCACCAAATCTTCCATGTCTCGCTGTGGTGGCCCTGAAGGAGCTGCTGACAGAAAGTCGCCTTGCTAATGAAGTTTTTAGCTCCGGTCAGAACCTGGTTGGATGAAATCTTTAATTGGACCAGATCAAAATGTTCAGAACATTGAAGTAAATCCCGTCAAACAGCTGAAATGAGATTCAATTCAAACATCATGCAGTAAACTCTGATGGGCCTCCCAGTACCTGGTACCTGACGATAAGGTCCAAGTGTTGGCAGACGACTGTCGATTCATCTCAAACCACAGAAGAAGAGTGGGCGAGCGACATTCACTCAGCTCTCTCTCTCTCTCTCTCTGTTCTGTAAAAACTTTAAATTTAAAATCAGAAAAACTCACCTGAGCAATTCCAGAGATCACCTCCGTCTGATCAGAGCTGGCTCATTCTGAGTCCACGAGTCGTCCGAGAGAGAGAGAGAGAGAGAGAGAGAGAGAGAGAGTGTGTGTGTGTGTGTGTGTGTGTGTGTGATCACATCATATCAAACTCCAAAGGTTCTCTGTCCTGGTGTTAGCTTTACGAGCTGCTGGTCGTTAATGTTTAACCTGCTGATATCTGTGGACACACACTCACACACACACGCACTCACACACACACACACTCACACACACACACACACACACTCACACACACACTCACTCACACACACACACTCACATACACACACACACACACACACACACACACACACACTCACACACACACACACACACACACAGATCTTTGGCCAGCACTATCTGGACTAGAGGCCTCCTCCTCACATGTGTTTGGTTCTGTTTGGATCCTCTGTGGTTCTGACCGGGTCTTGGACCTGATGCAGATCGTTTCTGATCAGACGTTATTAGTTGTTTTAATCATCAATAATCCCTGAAGCTCGTTCTGCTGGTTTTGGACCTGAACTCATCAGAACCCGTGTCTTCACTGCAGAACTTTCAATCACAGCTCCTGCGTGATGATGTCACACCCGATGAGTGATGATGTCACACCCGATGAGTGATGATGTCACTCATTAAAACTTTAAGCAGTCTGTCCTCTTCTCCATCTGTCTTCGTGTCTCTGTCCACTCAGGGTCTCTGCTGGACGTCTGCCTGTCCTCTCAGAGGTCAACACCCAGACTGCCATCATCCAAACAGGAAGTGAAGGTTTGAACCATCAAACAGAACCTGTGGTACCATCAGAACCTTCTGTTGCTCCCAAGGAGGTCCAAACCTCTGGTGAGGACCCCATCCCCTGGACGGAGGGGAACCAGACCAGAACCAAACTCTCTGCAGGGATTATAGAGCCTCACCTTGGGACACTCTGGGGGGATCTGGGTTTTCCTCCTGAACAGGGACAGAGACCCAAGATGGACAAGTGGACTCTGAAGTCCTCCTGGAGTCTGTCTGCAGGACTTCCTGTCAGGCTGTCCTCCTGTCAGACAGCGCTCAGGGAGAAAACCTGTTGTTGTTGTTTGTGGCTGAAACAGCAGCAGATCAGTTTCATCTCAGGAGATGAAAGAAAAATGTTTGTTTAAAAACAGATTGTTTGTTTGTGAATAAACAGGAAGTCAATGTCTGTCTAGCAAACAGGAAGTTAGTGGTAAAACAGGACGTAACCTCAGCTGTGGGTTTATTGTTTTTGTTTGTATCAGTAAACAGTACTTTGTTTATTGTTTGTTTGTTTGTTTCGTTGGTGTGTGATGACTCTGACTCTCCAGCAGAGGGCGCCACCTACTGCAGGTAAGATGCTGTTTAATCTCTCCCCTCAGTTTATCAGAAAGTTGTTTATTGTTTATCAGTAAACAAAAATAAAAAGAATGTTTACTCCTGCAGCTGTGAGCCGAACCGACACCAGCTTTTACTTTTTGTTTGTTTGTTTGTTTTCTGCTGTAGCCTGAATTTGTTGTTTGTTGATCATAAAGACAAACACGTTGGGTTGGTTCCGGTCCAGTTTATGGTTCGGACCCGGTTCGTTCAGGAGGGACGGAAACAGCAGGAACCTCCTCATAAATAAATGTTGTTTGTTTGTTTGTTTGTTTGTTCCGGTAAAAAAAAAAAAAGACAGTTCAGTGTTTGTGATCTTCAGTTTGTTCCATAAATAAATAAAATTAATGAAAATAAATAAATAAATAAAATGACTCAATTAAATAATAAATTAATACATAGAGTCTGGGAGCAGCAGGTGAGGAAGAGGAGGCAGGACAAGTTCTTTTCTCTGGACCTGGTTCGGTTCCGTCTCGGCTTCAGTCTCCTCAGACCTCCGGACCGGACTCACGTGGATCTGCAGCTTCCTTGAGATCCAGGTTCGGATGAGAAACTGTCGGTTCGGAGGTTTTGGGTTTAAAATGAACCAAGCTCCGGTTCTGCTGGACTCGCGTTTTTTTTTTTTTTTTGGTCTGAACTTTACAGAACCGGGATTTCAGGTTTTTGGACCTTTCTTTAATGGTCCGGATCAAAGCGGAGGATCAGAACTCTTCATCACTTCCGGTCTCATCTCCTCAGATTCTCCTGAACTTTGGTTCGGTCCGTTTGGGTCTCTCCTCCGGACCGGACTCCTGGAGGTCTTCAGGTTCTGAAGTGAATCCAGACTCAGAACTTCCGGTTCTTCCCGTGGAGGCTCAGGTGGGTTTGGACGTGGATCAGAACTTCCTCCAGGACCGGGTCTGGACGCAGTCTGAGGACCTTAATCAAAACCCGGTCCAAGTCCTGGATCCAGATCCAGTTATTGCTTCTTGATGGAACTTTAGTTCTGAGAAAACCTGAAGAGTCCAGGACTGAGCTGGTCCACATTCAACAAGAGTACTGAAACTCTGTTTGGACCCCAGCAGGTTCTGTTGAGTCACCCTGCCTGACCAGAACCAGGAACAAGAACTGGACCTCAGAAACCAGTTGCAGGTTCTCCTCCAGAAACCAAAGACTTCCTGGACCTGGAAGAACCTGAAGAACAGTTCTGAGAAGTTCTGAGAAAACCTGGACCTTCCATGAATCTGAAAGAACTGTCCGGACCCTGGAGTTTCAGAGCGAAGGACTCGGAACCGGATCAGAACGTCACCCTAACCTTTAGAACTCACAGAGATCCTGAAGACTGAGAACCTTCAAGCTCAACATCAGAACCAGAGCAGGTCCAGCCAGTGGTCCTGTGGAAGACTGAGGTCCACCTGAGGTCCATCAGGCCTCTGCAGGTCCAATGGGGACCCTCAGAGACCTGCAGTACGCCCTGCAGGAGAAGGTCCAGGAGCTCCGGCAGCGGGACGCTCTGATCGACGAGCTGGAGCTGGAGCTGGACCAGAAGGACGAGCTGATCCAGCGCCTGCAGAACGAGCTGGACAAGTACCGCTCGGTGATCCGACCCGCCACGGCCCAGCAGCAGAACCTGGTCCTGCAGCCGGACCAGCACCGCAGTAAGAGGCAGGCCATCTCAGCAGAACCCACGGCCTGCGACATGAACCAGCTGAGCCACGTCACGCTGCCCTGCTGCCCCAAGAGTCCACAGTAAGTCTAAGTCCGGTTCTGCTGAGGTTCTGACTGCCAGCTGGCTCCAGAACCCTGCTGGGTCCTGAGTCGGTTCTGATCAGTTCTGATCCAACTCTGAGCTGGGACCGACACGACTTTGACCCAGCTCTGTCTGTGTGTGGGCTGAGCAGATCCGTTGGTGGTTCTGATCAGCAACAACACAGCTGGTTCTGGTTCTGTTCTGGTCTCAGATCAGATGTCAGAGACTGAACTGATCCGGAGTCTCTGCTGTCACAAAAGAACCAACAGAATTCTTGATCAGAACCTCCAACTGTTCTCAGACAGGTTGAATATTTGGAGCTGAACCGTTTTAAAGTTTAAAGGAACAAAACGTCCATCATCTTGACCCTCGTCTTCCTTTTTGGGTCAGGGGGGACACCATGGACAGGTCTCCAGTCCATCACAGGGACACATGAGGCAAACGAGACAAACAACCATTCTCTCTCTCTCTCTCACACCCAGGGTCAATTTAGAGTTACCATCAGTCTAACATGCATGTTTTTGATCTGTGGGAGGAAACTGGAGTAAACCCACACATGCACGGAGAGAACATGCAAACTCCACCCAGAAAGGCTCCCGGCTGGGATTTGAACCAGCAAACTTCTCACTGAGAGGCGGTAGCTCTACCTACCAAATCACCGTGCCACCCTGCAAAACAAACAAAATCTGAAATAACAAAACGAAAGAACTGACCTTTGACCCCGTGACCCTAAAGCGTCTTTGATCCATAAGGTGTCCAGCTTTCATCTTTCAAATTTAAAGATGAAGTCATTACTAGCAAACACAAACAGACCTGTATTCATAATGTGCCTTTATGGCAGGACAGCCAATGTTTCAGTGTTTCAGTGTTTCTATGTTTCACTGGTTTAATGTTTCCATGTTTCAGTGTTTCAGTGTTTCTATGTTTCACTGGTTTAATGTTTCCATGTTTCACTGTTTCAGTGTTTCACTGATTCAGTGTTTCACTGTTTCAGTGTTTCACTGTTTCAGTGTTTCAGTGTTTAATTGTTTTAATGTTTCCATGTTTCATTGTTTTAATGTTTCCATGTTTCACGGTTTCAATGTTTCAGTGTTTCAGTGTTTCACTGTTTCTATGTTTCACTGGTTTAATGTTTCCATGTTTCACTGTTTCTATGTTTCACTGGTTTAATGTTTCCATGTTTCACTGTTTCAGTGTTTCATTGTTTTAATGTTTCCATGTTTCATTGTTTTAATGTTTCCATGTTTCACAGTTTCAGTGTTTCACTGATTCAGTGTTTCACTGTTTCAGTGTTTCATTGTTTTAATGTTTCCATGTTTCACTGTTTCAATGTTTCAGTGTTTCAGTGTTTCACTGATTCAGTGTTTCACTGTTTCAGTGTTTCATTGTTTTAATGTTTCCATGTTTCACTGTTTCTATTTCACTGGTTTAATGTTTCCATGTTTCACTGTTTCATTGTTTCAGAGTTTCACTGGTTCAGTGTTTCATTGTTTTAATGTTTCAGTGTTTCACTGTTTCACTGTTTCATTGTTTCAATGTTTCACTGTTTCACTGTTTCAGTGTTTCACTGATTCAGTGTTTCATTGTTTCAATGTTTCAGTGTTTCACTGTTTCAGTGTTTCATTGTTTTAATGTTTCAGTGTTTCACTGTTTCAGTGTTTCA